TCTCTCTCTCTCTCTCTCTCTCTCTCTCTCTCTCTCTCTCTCTCTCACGTTATTCTATATACAGAAATACGATGAATTTACCGAAATATAGATATTTAGAATATATCATGTTAAGAGGTATCAGAATAAAATATAAAATATATGTCATAAAACGGGGGGTAAATTTACCGTATTTCTGTATGTACACGATGTTCTTGATGACTCATGTTTTTGAGTCGTTCACCTTACCTACTGCACTACTGTCACTTTGACTGAAAGACGCTTCGTATTGTATACGTATAGTATATCCATGTACGAAAACAAATTATTTATTTTAAAGAAGAGAATAGGTTCTTTTAAACGTAAAAAGTGCTTAGAAAATATGTAAAAAGTATATTTAAAAAATATTTACTTGTTTTAAAAGTAAATCAAATACAAATAAATCATTTTGTAAATTTAAATAAATTGTTTTCTAATAATAAAAGGAATTTTAATTTGAAATACAAAAACGATACTTTTAATATTAAAAAATAATTTATTTAGATTTATAAAATAATTTACTTGTACTTTATTTACTTTCAAAACAAGCAAATATTTATTTTAACACAGTTTAGAGAGAGAGAGAGATAGAGTGAGAGAGAGAGGGGGGAGAGGGAGAGTAATCGATGAATGATACTACTCTTTGATGCATCGATGTATCTACAAAATGCTACAAAATTTTTTGAATATTTTTCTATATTTTTTTACAGTAATCGATTTCACACATTATTTTAAGTTCAATAGTAAGAAATATTCATTCTTAAATGGTTTTACTTCAATACTTTTATACGTAGAATGACGGAGAAATTTACTTATGTTTAACAAATCAATGTTTACTTTGAAACAATCTTGAAAGAAACATTATGTTTTGATAATAACATTTTTATCTTATAGTGTCCTTGAAAGCTTTCAATATTTTTGTTTATCATTTTTATTAATTAATTATTATTATTTTTTAATAATTCATTCCCTTACGGAAAAAAACCCCACATTTTGAAGGTTAACTCTCAAATTTGTAGGTTTACCATCAAATTTGAAAGTTGACCACAAAAGTTGGATATTAACCCTGAAAATTTGGGAATAGCCCCTCAAATTTTCAGAGTAGATCCCAAGTGATTCGGTGTCAACTCCCAAATTTTGGTGTCTCAATGAGTAGTGTTGAACGTGAAACTTTCAGGGTAAACCTCAAACGATTCGGTGTCAACCACCAAGCTTTAATACTCACTCCCAATTTTAAGTGTTAACATTCAATCTTTCAGATTAGATCTCCAATCGACAAGTTTTGATGTTAACCCCGAACGGCAAATAATTAAAATAAATAAATCTAAATAAATTTTTTATTTTAAAGTTTTATTCGCATGAACAACAATTATCTCTATATTGGCCAAACGTAAAGTCGGATAATAATTAACCTATAAGAAAATCATTTGTACTAAAAAAATTTATGTTAGTCAAATTTAGTACATATGAATCGTATATGCTGTGCGCAAATGTTAACCTAGATAGCACAGAGAACTCAAAAAGAATTAAAAAATAATTCAGTTATGTGTCACAATTCTGAGTTTATTTTTAGATGTAAAAGAAATTCTTCAAAGTTCAGTTTAGTGAAAAAAATTCTTTTTGCATCTAAAAGTGAATTCAGAATTGGTGACATACAACTGAATTCTTTTTGAATTTTCTGTGCTATCTGGGAAGATAATACTTGTTTTACATAATTGATAAAATAACGAGAATTAATGAGTAACTCGAAAAATGTTTTTTAAAAATATATTGAAATAATATATATATATATATATATATATATATATATATATATATATATATATATATATATATATATATATAAAAGAGAGAGATATATATAGAC